AATACAAGACATGAAACACAAGACAATAGAGAGAAGACAAGCGCTGAAGAAGTGGTCGACTCTGAAGACAATGAATCAAATGATGGCATCGATTGTCATATTAATGATGAGACAGATGTTGGAAGTGATGCCGAAGACAATGAGGACAACAATCATATGAATAAAGACATTACCAGAGATGAGACACAAAGCGAATCCAACATTGATTTTAAACCAATGATTGGTAGAAATAATGCCGAAAATAATGAGAATAACAATCATATGAATGAAGACTTGAATAATAAAACCAATGAATTGAATGACAACTCAAGTGGTAATCAAAGAGGGAGTGAATTAAACACAACATATAATACACGGAAACGAAAGTACATTTCAATGGAAACCGAAGACAATGACAGCGAATGTGAAGAATATAGACCTGATTTGAGTGACAATGAAATGGACGACAAACCGGACGAAGAAAGCATAGCTGGGAAACCATTGCTAAGGGAACCACATTTGTGTGATTACAAGGGCTGCGGACGCTTTTTCCGTGACTCGTATGCCCTAAAAAGGCACGCGTTTTGTCATTTGAGTGCAAAAACCAAGACATCGATGGTATATAAGAGGAGACCCGACGACCGGTACTTATGTCTGATGAGCGCCTGTAATGAGGTCTGCAAAGACAGAGATGCTCTCAGATTACACCAAATGTCACACTTGAATGAGTGTCCGCAGACCGACAGTCCGGATGAGTTAAATAGCGGATCAGCTGATTGTCAAAGAGTGTGTGAATTAAAGACTAAAATTAATAGAAAACGACAACAAAAATCAATAAGTGAAGGCCATGGCAGCGAAACTGAAGAATACGGTTCCGGTGCATTTCATTGCAATGAATCAAATGATGGCATCGATTGTCATAATAATGACGACTTAAATGAAAGTAATGATTTGAATGCGAAGACTAAGAATTCAATGGTCTTCGAGCAGAGACTGGACGGCCGATACGTGTGTCTTATGGGCGCCTGTAATGGCGTCTACGATAACACGGCTAACCTCCGGTCGCATCAAATGTCACACTTGAATGAGAAGTTTGCAAACAATTGTGGTTTTGGTTTGAGTGACAATCAAATGGACGACAAATCGTGCGGTGAAGGGATGTCTGGGAACCGGTTGCGAAGAGCACCGGACGGGAAGTACTTGTGTGACTACAAGAGCTGCGGAAAGTCATACAATTCCCGTTCAACTCTACGAAATCATAGATCTAGTCATTTGAGTGATGAGATGAAGGCATCGATGGTCTATAAGAGGAGATCCGACGGTCAATTCCTGTGTCTCATTAACGCCTGTAATGCTGTCTTCAACTCCAGGCAAGCCCTCCGTTCTCATCAAATGTCACACTTGAAAGAGCCGTTAAAGTGTCCGCAAACCGACTGCCCGTTTGCGGCCCACACGCGGGCGGACTTTCAAAGGCACGCGAAGACACACATAATGCGGGAAAAGTGTCCACCGATTGACTGTCCGATTGATGTGAACGAAGAATTAAATGACGAATCAATTGACGGCCAAATAGTGAGTGAAATAAATGCAAAAACTAGTGACGAACATAAATCAGCGGAAAGTGAAGACAACGGATCAGATTTAAGTGACAATGAAATGGACGACAAGTGGATGTGTTGGATAGAGCCGTCAAAACAAAATGGTAAGTTTGTGTGTGACTACAGGGGCTGCAACAGCGCTTTCCCGGAGACGACTCACTTAAAAAGGCACGCGTTTTCACATTTAAGTGCAAAAATCAAGACATCGATGGTATATAAGAGGAGACCCGACGGCTGGTGTGTTTGTCTTATGGACGCCTGTAATGCGGTCTATAAAGCTAATCGTGATCTTAGAGGCCATCAAATGTCACACTTGAAAACGCCGCTCAAGTGTCCGCCGATTGACTGTCCGAATGAATTAAATACAAAAACTAATGGCAAACGAAAACAGGAAAGTAAAATCAATGGCGAACCAGAAGAATGTGGTTCTGGTTTGAGTGACAATGAAATGGACGATAAATCGGGCGATGAATGGATGGGTGAGAAACAGCTCCGACGGGCAACCAATAGGAAGTACTTGTGTGATTACAGGGGCTGTGGATTGTCTTTCACAGGGCCTTCATTTCTAAGGACACATGCATTCAGTCATTTGAATGCAAATGAAAAGAAGTCAATGAAGTTTACGAAGAGATCCGACGGCCGATACGTGTGTCTTATGGGCGCCTGTAATGAGGTATTCAAAGACATTCGTAATCTCAGAGGCCATCAAATGTCACACTTGAAAGAGCCGTTAAAATGTCCGGACTGTGCATTCCATGGGCTAACTCAGGCCGCGTTTAACAAACACTTGCGGACCCATCCGAACGCATACGTGTGCGACACTTGCGGCGCGAGGTATAGTCGAAAGAAGACATTTGATGATCACAAACGCATTCATAGCAAATCGGATCAATTCAAGTGCGATTGGCCGGAGTGTGGCCGCAGTTTTATTTGGGAATGTCAATTAAGAGATCACATGAACACACATACGGCTGCCGTTAACCACCCGTGCGAATGGCCCGGTTGTGAGCGAACCTATACTAATATAACATCTTTAAAACTACACGTGAATAGAGTTAGACATACATTACGTCTGAAAAATACTCGGAAATCTAATTAAAAGTTTTTACAACACTTTATAATTAATTAAATAGTTTATTATAAGTAAAATATAATACAATTAAGAAATAAATGTCTTAAATGAACATTTAATGTAATCATGATTTTGTGTGAGTCTTCATATGTGCGTCCATTTGACCACATTTTATGTCTTATAATCACATCCCGTATGAGAGCACTGGTAGTCATCCAAACCCTCGTGTTGTCTATGGATATGATTGTTAAGACGAATACCATTAGTGGTCTGATAGTCACACTCTGGCCAATGGCACCGATACTCAGCCATCCCTTTATGCACTCTATTCACGTGTAGTTTTAAAGATGTTATATTAGTATAGGTTCGCTCACAACCGGGCCATTCGCACGGGTGGTTAACGGCAGCCGTATGTGTGTTCATGTGATCTCTTAATTGACATTCCCAAAAATTTCTTAATTGTATTATATTTTACTTATAATAAACTATTTAATTAATTATAAAGTGTTGTAAAAACTTTTAATTAGATTTCCGAGTATTTTTCAGACGTAATGTATGTCTAACTCTATTCACGTGTGAACTCTGTTTACATTGACTTTTAATTAATTGTTTTGATTTATATGTCATTTATTTCTCAAAACATGGGATCAATTAGTGGTGATATTCAGGGCTTAAGTAAAAGCAAATTGTGTGTAATTATCAATGAATTGAGAGAAGAGATCAATGGTTTGTCCGCAGAGTTAATGAAATGTAAATTACTTTTATTGGCCAAAACTTATGGTAAATATTTGTGTTATTTTCAATTCAATTGGTTTTTGTAAATGAGTTTTGATTTTATAATTGATTTTTAATTTATTAATAAATAAAATAGATTTTCAATCAATTGGTTGCCAAACGAGCGATGAATTCATTAATGAAGAGTTGATTCAAAGAGAAGAGAAGACAAGCGCTGAAGAAGTGGTCAACTGTGAAGACAATGAATTAAATGATGGCATCGATTGTCATATTAATGATGAGATAGTCATTGGAAGTGATGCCGAAGACAATGAGGACAACAATCATATGAATGAAGACTTGAATAATAAAACTAATGAATTGAATGACAACTCAAGTGATAATCAAAGAGGGATTGAATTAAACACAGCATATAATACATGGAAACGAAAGTACATTTCAATGATTGGCAAACATCATACCGAAGCCTTCGACTCGACCTCTACTCTCACCCCTCCCTTCTCTCCAGAGCCACAATTGAAAGTCATTTTGATTGACACAACTGTTGAATACTTGAGCGAAGGAACTAATGGTCCGCTCAATATTGTTACCGCAAAAGCCATACCTTTGAACGACTCATCAGTGATCGCAATATCGGGTTCATCTAAAACGGACATGAGTTGCGTCTCGCCATCCAATGTCGCGCCGCAGTGTAGTTCCCGATCCAGAGGTCGCTTTGAAATGAATGCCGACTCCAAACGCCGTATACATAAATGTCGTTTTAATGGATGCAAAAAAACTTACATAAAATCATCCCATCTTACGGCCCATCAGCGGACGCACACAGGTTTGCATACTATATATGAGATTAGTATTAAAATTATAGTTATATGAATAGTACATTAGTTATGATGTGATGAATGTTTTCATTGATATGTTGTTATGATTGACGTTTAGGTGAGAAGCCATACAAGTGCTCGTGGGAGGGATGCGAATGGCGTTTTGCCAGATCTGATGAGTTGACCCGTCATTCCCGAAAGCATACGGGAAGTAAACCATTCAAATGCAGTCATTGTGGCCGATGTTTCTCCCGTTCCGACCATTTGGCCCTCCATATGAAGCGCCACCAGTGATGACCCGTTTGTGCCAATTCTGCATAGAAAATGACACCCAATTGAGTGACAATGAAATGGACAACAATTTAGACTACAAATGGCTGGGAAACCACTGCGAAAGGGATCCAATGGGAAGTATCGGTGCGATTACAGGGGCTGTGGATTGTATTTTGGTTACACATGGGGTCTACGGAAGCACTCGTTTAATCATTTGAACGCAAAGACCAAGAAATCAATGGTCTTTGAGATTAAGGCTGACGGACGATATGTCTATCAATTGGCCGACTGTAACTATACTGTAAATTATTAATTGAACATGTATGTTTTTAATACTACTGTATTTGATATCCGATTAATTTTTAAGTTTATTGTTTGTTATTAATTAAAATTTTGTTAATTAATTTTTTTTAATTGCAAAATATTTTGCTTGAATAAACTTTTGACTAAAAGAATACTGTATTTAAATATTTGATTATTAATTCATCATAGTTAGGGTTTAAACGGCCGCCCGGTGTCACGTGAGAAAATGGGCACTTATCGGGCGCTATAACTCACTTTTGTTTCAGCGCATGAGTCAATCAGTGTCTGTACGATAGCCGAGAAGGCTATGCTGGGAGAGGGACTAGCGTTAACAGAGCTTTTTTTGACTGGTGCTTCCATCCCGTGGAGGTTTTTTTGAAGGCGGGTGCCGCGCGGACGCCCAGTGGGCGGGCGCCCGCGAAGGCGCTTATAGGAATAAGCGCCAAATATAATAACCCTAATCATAGTTTAATCATTATTTTTCGGACGTAATATATGTCTAACGCTATACACGTGTGAACTCTGTTTACATTTTTGTTAATTTACTCTTAATTAAATGTTTTGTTTTAATTGAAGTGTTATTTAATTGTCAAAACATGGGATCAATTAGTGGTGATATTCGGGGCTTAAGTCGAAGTGAATTGTGTCTAATTGTGTGTGAATTGAAACAATCTGTGAATCGCTTGACAACAGAGTTATTGAGATATAAATTATTGGCCAAAAAATGT